CGGCGTCTCCCCCACCGTGGTGGGCATGGCCGGCACGCCCGTGTCCAAGCTGCAGGAGGCGGTGCGATCACAGATCGACTACTACTTCTCTGTCGGCAACCTGGTGCGCGACGTCTTCCTGCGCTCCAAAATGAACGCAGAGGTGGGTGCGCGTGGGTGCGTGTGTGTGTGTGGCGGGGCGAGCGTGCATGTGTGTGGTGTGGTGGCGGTGGCGGTGGCGGTGGCGGTGGCGGTGGCGGTGGCGGTGGTGGTGGGAGGCGGGGCTGCCCAGGGCATGCGTGCCTGTGCCCTTTAGCTGTTGGTTGCCGCCTCCCATCCCGTGCTGTGCTGACCGTGCGCTGCCGTGCCGCGGCCTGGGCCCCTCCCCCCCACCCCCCGCAGGGCTGGATCCCGCTGCACGTGATTGGCGCCTTCAACCGAGTGCGCATGCTCACCCCAGACCCCATGGTCATCGTCGGCGCCATGCAGGCAAGCAGGCCACACAGCCGGCGCAGGCCAGCGGCGCCGCAGCTCGGCTGCTCGTGCCGCCGCCGCCAGCCACCGCCGTCGCTGCCGCGCGCGCTGCGCGTCTCTCGCTGCCAGCAGCCGGCTAAGGATTGAACCCCATTCTGGCACCAGTCTTACCTGCCCCCAAAACACTCATTCCAGGGCAGCGTGTGCTGAAACGAATGCCTCCTGAGGCCCCGCCCGCTTGTTGCGCCTGCCCCTGCTGCCGCGCCACACGCGTGCGCCTGCCCTACTGATGCCGCATGCCACGCATGCCGCCCGCCTCGCCAGCTGCTCCCGCAGCCGGGCCTGCAGCCGCTGAGGTGTGCGGCGCCTGCTGCCTCACCCCTCCCTCCCCTGCAGAACTCCGCGATTGTGGAGGTCAGCAGGGACAGCATGTTCATGCGGCCAAAGGACTCGTGGCGGCAGGTGGGCCAGGAGCTGCCGTGCTGCGCCGTGCCGTGCTGTGCTGTGCTGTGCTGTGCTGTGCTGTGCCGCCAGCCAGCCAGCGAAGCCGTCCGCGCCCCCTTCTTCCCCCGCATGGCTGCGCCACGCCAGCGGCGGCCCCGCTGCCGTGCCTGGCCTCGCCGCGCCCAGCTCACACGCCGCCGCTCGCGCTGCCGCCGCCCTGCCTGCAGTGGGTTCTGCCGGACGCGCAGCGCGACAAGGGGGTGCATGCGGTGGTGCAGCAGGCCGTGCAGGCCGGCAGCGAGCAGCAGCAGCAGCAGCAGCCGGGGCGCAAGCAGGGGAGCCCCGCCGCGGCATCGGCGGCGGCCAGGGAGGGCGAGCCCGCGGCGCCCGCTGCCGCCGACGAGAAGCGGGCGGCTGCCGCCGCGGGCGGCGCCGCGGCAGGGGGACAAGCGGCGGGTGCGGGCCGCAAGGCTGAGGAGGCGGCTGCCGCTGCCGCGACGGCGCCCGCCGCAGCGCCGGCCACGCCCGAGCCAGCGGCGGCCGCGCCGCCCACGGAGCAGCCGCCGTCTGCCGAGCAGTCGGCCGCCGAGCAGCCGGCCGCCGAGCCTGAGCGGCCGGCCGCCGAGCAGGCGGCGGCTCCGGCGGCGGCCGAGGCGGATGCCGCGGCGGCTCCGCCGCCGCCGCCGCCGTCTCACGACGTGAAGCGCATTGCGGAGGATGAGGAGATGAATGAGGACGACATGTTCCAGCTGGACGAGGTGGGGCTGAGCTGGCTCTGAGCTGGCGCTGAGCTGGCTGACGTTTTGGCACCTGGTGCAGCGGCCAGGCTGCACCTGTGATGCCCCGGCGGCCGCCTCCGCCTCCGCCTGTGCAAAGTGGTGCTGACCCTGCTTGCGAGGCCCGCGCCGCCCGCCTGCCCTCCCGCCGCAGGAGCACGCCGTGAAGGAGGCGCAGGCCGCCGCCGTTCCGTCTGCCAAGGGCGGCAAGGGCAAGGAGTCGCTGAGCAACGATGACCTGGCGAGGCTCATCGTGGTGAAGCCGGTGAGTTGGCGCTGCATAGCACGCTCCGGCCGGCCTTTGCCTCCTGCTGAACCCGGCCCGTGCGCAGCCGCGCCTGCAAGGCCAGGCCGGCGTAGCACGCGGGCTGGGGTGGGCGGCGGAGGCAGGCACGGCGCCCCGCCGCCTGCCGACCGCGCCTGCCTGGCCGCTCACGCCGCGCGCCGCCCCTGCCACCGCCGCTCGCCCGCCTGCGCAGAGCCTCAAGTCGCCCCAGAAACCGCGCATGGGGGAGGGCGAGGACATGGTGGCTGTCATCAATGACGGCCTGGAGCTGTACGCTCGGGAGCTGCAGCAGATCAACACCGCACGCCGCGCCGCGGCCAGCCAGCCCGAGGCCCCCGGCTCGGGCGGCGGCTCGGGCGGCGGGTCGCTCAACGCGCCGGGCCGCCCGCCGCGCGCGCCCGGCGCCGGCAAGAAGAGCAACTTCTACCCGGCTTCCCTGCCCAAGGGACACTCACACTCGCGGTCGCGCCCCTTTGGCCAGTCGCCACCCTCGGTGTCTGTGGGTGAGTGGCGGCGGCAGGCAGGGAGAGGCCGCCCGCTGGCCGGCACGCAGGCGCTGGTCGGCTAGGCATTGCAGCGGCGGCAGCCCCAGCAGCAGCAGCAGCGGCGGCAGCAGCTGCAGCAGGCGTGCGGCACGCGGGCCCCCGACCACGCCTTGCCCCTCTGCCAACCCCCCACCCCACCCACCCCTCGCAGGCTGGCTACTGGGCACGTCGCCCGGCGCCGACAGCGGCCTGCTGGGCTCGTCCCCCGGCAGCCGCCGCGCGTCGCCGCGCATGGGCTCCCTCCTGGGCTCCTCCGCCTCCATCCCCAAGTTCCAGCACCCCAGCCACAGCCTGCTGGAGGAGAACGGCTTCACCCAGATCAAGTACGAGAAGTTCATGACGCGGTGCGTGGCGGAGCGCGCGGAGCGCGGCGCGGTCCAGTCGGAGGAGATGAACACGTTCTTCCGCTTCGGGTGTTACTTCCTGCGCGAGCAGTTCAACCAGCAGATGTACGACGACTTCCGCAAGTGAGGCGGCGGGGCCGGGGCCCCTGCATTGGTGGGGGGGGGGCCGCGGCGCGGGTGGCGGCGCGGCGCGGGTGGGTGCGGCGGCGTGGGAGAGGCGGCGTGGGGCGCGGGCCGTGGCAAGGCGGGCTGCCGGCTTGCGGTTCCAGCTGCGCTCGGCGCCGAGGCACAGGAGGAGCGGGAGGCTGCCGCGCGTGCGTGCGTGCCGTGCGCTCGCATCGCGCCTCACCCCGCCCCGCCCCGCCCTGCCTGCCCCGCCTGCCCCAGGTACGCTCTGGAGGATGCTGCGGGGGACTACCAGTACGGCATGGAGTGCCTGTTCCGCTTCTACAGCTACGGCCTGGAGCGGGCGTGGAGCGAGAGCCTGTACCGCGACTTTGAGGAGCTGACGCTGCTGGTGGGTGGCGCTGGCGGCTGGCGCTGGTGGATGGGGCTGGGGCTGGTGCGGGTGGCGCTGGTGCTGGTGGGTGGCGCTGGCGCGGGTGTTGGTGCGGGTGCTGGTGCCGGTTCCGGTGGGGCTGGCTGCCAGGGGGCTGCAGGCAGGCTGCGGCTGCGGCTGGGGGCTGGGGCAGAGGCGCAGCGGCGGCGCCGCTGCGTGGCGTGGCGGATGCTGGTCCAGCCGGGGACGGCTGCCACGTGAGCCTGGCTGACGGGCGGCTCGCCCCGCTGCCTGCCTGTCTGCCTGCCTGCCTCCGCTTGGTGCAGGACTTTGAGAACGGCAGCCTGTATGGTCTGGAGAAGTTCTGGGCGTTCCACCACTACACAGGCTTCCCCCAAGACCAGCCGGGGCTGGAGATGCTGCCCAAGGTGGGCCCCGCAGCGCCAGCCAGGGCTTGCCGGGTCGTGGCCAGGGGCATGCATGAACTGCACGGGCGCCGGCGCGCCACGCAGCAGGCCTGCCCCGCTCTGCTTGCCTGCTTTGGCGCCGTGGCCTGCACGTGGCGCTGCTGCGGGCCGCTGATGCTTCACTCCATGCTAATACCGAGGCCCCTCCCTCGAAGGGGGGGCTGTGTGGATAAACAACCTTCTCAATTACAGATGTCTGAGGTCCCCGCCAGCCGCCGCCTGCACCGCACGCCACATCTCTGTTGCCAGCCCAGCGCCTGCACCCCTGGCCCCACCCTGGGCGCCTCCCTGCTCACCGGCCTGTCCTCGCCCTGCCCCCCGGGCGTCCTCCCGCCTGCCCCGCCTGCAGCTCAAGAAGCTTCTGAAGGAGGAGTTCCGGAGCCTGGACGACTTTAAGGCCAAAGCTGCGCAGGTGTGTGGAGGTAGTGTGTGGGTGGGGGTGTGGGGGGGTAGGGGCTCGTGCCATGCTGGTGCAGGCTGGCGCTGCTCTGCCCTGCGCCTGCTGGGAGCAGCCCGGGGCATGGGCGGTGGCATGACGCATCTGCCCTGCTGCCTGCCCCTCCCGCAGTACAAGCCGCACAACCAGACGCAGCACTCTGACAAGCTGCACAAGCCGGCGCACCTGCCGCACCCACACCCACACAAGGCCGGCAAGCCGCACCAGCAGCATGGCAGCGGCGGCAGCAAGGGCGCCGCCAACGGCGTGCCCGCCAGCAAGGCCGCCAGCGGCAAGCCGCAGCAGGTGCATGTGCACACGGACGCGGCCGCAACGGCGGCAAACGGCGCGCCCACGCCTGCCGAGCCCGTGGCGGCCGCCTCCAGCTAATGATTGTGGCAGCGTGGGAGCTGGGCTGCCGGCAGCCCCGGCAGCGCTGCTGCTGTTTGGGAGCTGCTGGCCCTGCCTGCTGGCCCTGCCTGCTCGCGACCCCGACCAGCACCAAGGCGCTGCGCCCAACGAGCAGCGGGCCATGGGCTGGCTGCGTTTTTACACCCCCCCCCCCCA